GCATCATCCAGAAAGCTCTGAAGCTGTGTCGCCACCGCCCTCTCAATCAATTTGCCCAAATAGGGCAAATTAGACACCGGCCGATAGTTGGCCAATTCGGCCGGGTCCAAAGTTGTTTTTTTCAGGAGAGGGCGGACCTTCGCTTCCTTAACTGCCTCAGGGAACCGTCCCTCCATGAGGGCCTTGTTAACAATCTCCCATACGGCACCTCGAAACCCCTCATGGCCCGCTTTAATGAGCCAGGAAGGGCACGGGTCCAGGCAGCATGTGGTTGGGCGCACAGATGCGAGCAATCTGTCAACTTCCTCCAGACTGAGCGGGTCAAAACATTCTGAACCCCACGAGGACGTGCAAGGGGCCTCAAGTTCGCTCACTGTTTCAACTGTGGCGGGGAGATCGCGGCGGAGCGCCAAGATTTTATCCGCAAAATAGCTCGCAAAAGCCTCGCAGCCAATATCCAATTCCCTATTTTGTCTGCCCTGTGGCAAAACTGTCAAAGACCGAATTGTTCTAAACAGTTGGGCTGGGCGTGAGCTTGCGGACGCAATCGTGGCTGCATAGAATTCTCTCTTAGCAGCTTTGACTGCCATCTCATAGGATCTCATAAACGTCCTATGACGTTTAATCAGGTGACAGTCCCCATTAAAATCTGTCACAAATGTATAGTATTTAGGAAGATGTGGCTGTGTTGATATCTCCTTTGGCTCTTGGTGCTGCTAACCACCACATCTTAGTTCTAGGCTGTTTCCTTCTGAGAGAATGGGCAGAAGAAGCTGCAAGTAAGCTTAGAGGGTTTGCTTGCTGACACTATTTGTTCAACCCACCAAACTGGTCCTTTAGACTGCTCTTGCCCTTGGGACTATAACATGTTTCAGGTTCCAAGCATTTCCTCCCCCATTGAGGGAAAGATCTACCCCAGCAATAATATATATAGAGAACACCTTTCTGATTGAACTGTGTATGCTTGATAGTTTAGATCTTTCCTAAAGGGATAAATGGAGTAGGGCTATATTATGTCTTTTAGGGTTTTTTAAGGACAAGGGGACAGTGTGGGAATTGTCCTTGGGAGAGTGCTTAGCTCTGTGACCAGTAGATGGCAGTCGTAGAACTGTGCTGGTCCCTGAAAACATCCACAGCGGAAAGATATAAAAAGCACGTAACACTACCAGAGCTCTGAGGGTTGTGGTGGAGCTATACAGGAAGAAGCCAGGGACTTACCAAAATTCATCAAGTGGACAATCCTTTTCCTGGCATATTCTCTGAAGCTTTTACTGCTGCACAGGAGGCAGAAATTAATCAGGTATGTTCGCAATCAGTGCTTCTCTATGGTTAAAACACAACCCTACACAGGGTATAGGGGAAAAAAATATGTACCTGTCACATTTCTGCCTCTTGAGCAGCTGTTAAAGCCCCACCCCACAAAAAAAGGAGCAAATAAGCAACATTTTCTCTGGAGGAAATCCTTCTTCTGTTATTAGCTGTGTAACAGGGAGATGCTTGACAGGGTAAAATGGGGGAGAACCTTGGACACTGCCCTGAGCTCCTTGGAGGAAGGACAGGATAAAAATGGAACAGAAGCTGCAACAGAAGCATTACTGCCAAACATCAACCAGAGATCAAAAGCACAAACCCGCTCTGCATGGCACTCACAGCCCTGCAGAAAAGAAGCAAGGGCATTCTATTCATTTATTCTTCACTGCGGAACCCAGTGTGGCATACATCATCATCGTCGTCATCCTAGTCTCCTCTGTTTTATCCTCACAACAACCCTATGAGGTCATGCTGAGAGCGACTGGCCGAAGGTCACCCAGTGAGCTTCTGTGGTGGACTTGGGATTTGAGCCTACCTAGCTTCCATACTCTAAGCCCTACACCACACTGGCTCTCCTTTAAGGCATTTTCCTTAAGCAGCAGGAACTAGGGCATCCAATGAAACTGATGGGCAGTAGGTTCAGGTCAGACAAAAGGAAACACTACTTTGCACAGAGTGATTAAAATGTGAAATTCACTGCCAGGGGATGTAGTGATGGCCACAGGAATAAACAGCTTTAAAAGGGGATTAGATAGATTCATGGAGGATCATGGAGAATAGGTCTACCAGTGGCTACTAGCCATGGTGCGTGAGGGGAACCTCCACATTCAGAGGCACTAATCCTCTGAATCCCAGAGCCAGGACGCAACATTGGGGAAAGGCCTCGGCCTCTATTCCCTGTTGTAGGCCTTCCAGAGGAACTGGTTTTGGCCACTGTGTGAGAAAGGATGCTGGACTAGATGGACTATTGATCTAATCCAGCAGAGCTCTTCTTATGTTCTTATTAGGGAGACCATTTTCCCCAACACATACAGACATATGAAGCTGCCTCTTCTTATGCCATCTGTTCTGACCAGCAATAGGTCACCGTGACCTGAGGCAGTGAAAGGTCTTTCCCAACATCGGCCATCTGAGAGTCTCCAAAAGGAGAGGCTGGGCACTGAACCCGGGACTTTCTGCATGCAAAGCATGTCTACCACTGAGCCCCAGGCTGGTTTAGCACAGCTGACAGAAATTCAGCAGGATATTCTTCAGACACTGGGGAAACCTAGACCTGCTGAGCTGTGTGCTTGTCATGTACCAGTTACTGGCAGAGGGCCTCTGAGAGTTCCCACCAAGGTTTGTCAATTTTCCTAACTACCTCCATCCTCCCCAATCTCAACCCCCTAATCAGCCTATATTTTTTAAAAAATATTTCATTGGTGTTCCACTACCTTCTGTAGCCGACTGGCCTCAAACAATGTTAATATACCTTCCTAGAAGCATGGATGTCACCACTGTTCCCTCTAAGCTGAGTTAGTGTGAGCCAGCTCACAGTTTTTTAGCCTCCGGCTCACACATTTTTGTCTTAGCTCAGGAAGGATGGGGCTCCAGAGCAAACTAATTTATGCAGTAGCCAAATCGCTCACTCACAACTTTAATGCCAGTTGCTCACAAAGTAGGATTTCTGCTCACAAGACTCCGCAGCTTAGAGGGAGCATTGGACTTCTCTTTTAATTTGTGTGGTTAGATATGGTGTGTCTTTAACTTTCTTGTTATTTCTCTCTCTCGGTATGTAACGCTGCCACCAGGAATTTAATTCCAATCCTATTAATTAATCTTTCCCAAGGTATTGTGCCCAAGATCTAAGGCGCCTTCGTTGGACTATGTGGTCCTGAGGATGAGACTCTAGTACTGAAATAGCATAGGACTCCAGGTTAACAATAAACAAAATAAAACTTTATTTGCACAAGAAGCGTATTGGTTTCAAGATGCTTTGTAACATCTCTTCAGTGAATAAAACAGTGCATATTAATAACTCCTGACTGAGGTATCACACTTTTTTACGTCACAAAACACTCCTCACTCTCAAATTCTCTTTAGAACATACTTTGTCCAATGTTTATTTAGCTCAGTTTAATCTTTCGTTTCTTAACTCAGGTTTCTGTCTCACATACTTATAGAATACTTTGACAATATTATGTTTTGACTCTCTCTAGTTGCTAATATGCCCTCCATAAATATTTGACTTCCCTTTGAGAATCTTAAATGTTTTTCACAGCACTACTATGGGATTCTAATCAGAAGACTGCTTCTCAGGCTCTGTAAGACTGCTGACACGATTGATTACTGACTGAACACACTGACTTTCTCCACACACACTTCTTAGCTCTGCCCATACACTCTCAGTCACCAACCAATCCCCTCACTCATCCCCTTCTTTCACCCCCCTTGTTCTTCTACAACTTACCAAACATTTAAAGAAACACACACTTAAAACTTTAAATTGTTACAGTGCAGGAGGTCCCAGGTTCACTCTCTGGCATCTCCAGTTAAAGGCCGTAAGTGATGTGAAAGACCTCTGCTTGAGACCCTGGAGACCCTCTGCTACTCAAAGCAAACAGTACTAGTTGCTTGACTCCATATAAGGCAGCATCATGTGTTCTATCACTCATAATTCCAGCTCCAGTTTGGGAGTTCTCCCATCTCCAGCTTTCAATAGGTCTTAATAGGGCTGTGGGGAGAGAGAGGACAAGAAGCACCCATCTAGCCTAGGGGAGAATTGCCACCCACAGAAGTATTTTGTGTTGGAATGTTATTGTCATTCATATTGGTGGTTCTGTTCCTGCGACCTACTTTGGGAGTCAAATTTAGGCTGAAAAGTTGGGCCCAAAACACAGCTGGGCTAGATCCAACCAGCTTTTCAACAGCTGAAAAAGAAAGGAGTCCCCTTTGACTACCAAAAAAGGCTATGTTGGGGATCATGGGACCTGCATGTATAAAAGCCATGTGGGATGGGGGCCGTAGTAGGGGGGGAACTGAGTGACATTCACTGGAAAAGCTGGCTGGATCCAACCCACTAAGGTTTAAAACAAATGGCACATAGAAGAAGTCACTAGGATATCACACACCGTTGATCTCAGAGACTGTGATGTCACTTGGAGGCCTCCTAGGTCTATTGGACCCAGGCCATTTAGGACTCTAAGCATCAGCCCCTGGATATTCTGTTGTGTTGAACAGAGAATCTGACCGCAGCTCAGATACTGGAGGACCACTCTCATTGGATCCTTGCAAGCCAAGCTCCCAATTAGCTTTTGCACCAGCAGAACTTCTTTTCATCATTGAGGGTGACCCATGCATCTGCACCCCTCAAAGACCAGGTGAGTCACTCCACAGAACAGTCTCGCCCAACTTGTGTCAGGGGTCCAAGCAAGCAAAGCTCTCAGACAGACCTCAGAGGTTACATATCCAATTTGGCAGAGAGAGGCTGGCTTTGCTGCCTCCTTGCTCTCTGTGCAGTAAAACATGCCTGTCCTCAAACGTTTACACTGCCTCACTCAACAGGATACATGAGAGGCCAAGTGGCAGAACGGCAACTTTGGATGCACCACAGTCTTCAGAAATAAATCAACGTGGGCCGTTGCTACTGTTCAAAGCACATTTATTAAATCGTAGCTTGTACATAACGTATATTTTAAGAGATACCCAGCCACACCATTCTGGCCGAAGTGCCGAGGTGAAGATGGTCCAAAAATGGTCCCCAGCATGTATATCTCATGTCCAGGCAAATGAACCAGAAAAGTTCAGTCCTTGGGCCTCTTCCTGCCAAGCAGAGCAGCACACAGCAGCAGAGGAATCCCTGCCAGCAGCCAGGAGGGCCCTCTCCCCTCATCTCACTGCAGCAGTAGGTCCACCATCCCCCCCTTGTGTCTCTCTGCACTTGCAAGGGTGGAACAAGAAGGTCAGTAGTGTCTGGAAGACTCCTTCTCCCTGGACGGCTTGTCTCTGTTCTCCCACCGCTCTCGGGATCTCCTGCTTTCTGCTGCTCTCAGTCTGTCATCTGCCTTCTTATGCTTCTCCTCACTGCGGTCAACATGAGATGTTCTCTGATCCTGCCAGCCCCTCTCTCGGGACCCCTCTCTCTGATCCTGCCAGCCCCTCTCTCTGCCCTTCTCTCGAGAGCCCTCCCTGTGAGCTGGCCAAGACCCCTCTCGAGATCCATCTCTCTGATTGTACCGGCCCCTCTCTCGAGACCCCTCTCTCTGATCCTGCCGGCCCCCCTCTCTGCCCTTCTCTCGAGACCCCTCTCCTCTCTGATCCTTCCCCTTCTCTTGAGATCTTTCTCTTTTATCCTGCCAGCCCCCTTCTCGAGACCTCTCTCTCACATGCTCGTACTTGAGTTCTTGTTCCGGCTCTGCCCGGCTGGCGTGTTTGTGCCCAGATGAGCTCCAGGTTTGCTGACTTTGGCCAGCGTATCGTTCGTAGCCTGGATCTTCCTTCTCCACTTTGATCTTGGTTTTCGCAGGCGGCGCATCTGCGGGCAGCTCCTCTTTCCTACGTTTCCGGTGCTCTTTCTTCTCTTTCTTCTTCTTCTTCTTGCTTTTTTCTTAAGTGGAGGAGAAACATACTGATACCTAAAAGCCTTCTGGAGGTATCCATTTCACTCCGCCCCCCAGAAAACACTCCTTCCTAGCCCCTCAGCCCCCAACTATTTCCTGTCCAGCATCCCCAGACAGGGAGTATTACCAGAACCAAAATTATTATTATTATTTATTTAGTATGTTTTGACATCACCCTTCCTCCAAGGAGATCAGGGCAGTGTATATCATGTTGCCCTTCTCCAGTTTGGAGCCAGTTTGGTGTAGTGGTTATGTGTGCAGACTCTAATCTGGGAGAACCAGGTTTGATTCCCCACTCCTCCACTTGCACCTGGCTGGATGACCTTGGGCAAGCCGTAGCTCTGACAAGAGCTGTTCTTGAAAAAGAGCAGTTTCTGTCAAGAGCTCTCTCAGCCCCACCTACCTCACAGGGTGTCTGTTGTGGGGAGGGGAAGGGAAAGGACTTTGTAAGCCTCTCTGAGACACCTTTGGGTAGTGAAGGGCGGGGTATAAATCCAATCTCTTCTCTTCTTCTATCCTAACAACAACCCTGCGAGGTAAGTTAGGCTGAGCAGGAGCAATTGGTCCAAGATCACCAAGCAAGCTTCCTGGCAGAGCAGGAATTTGAACCTGAGTCTCCCAGATCACAGGCTGACACTACACCCCACTGGCTAGCAGTCCAAGTTCAGCCCTATGCACAGAGCAGGGGCTGTTGCCCTGAATCTTTACCGATAATTGTAAACTGTAATGACAGCCATTAAATGCAATCAGTGAGAGGTTGTCCTGCAGGAGAGCAGAAAGCAGGAAGTCCCACCTGCCTTGTACTCTGATCCAGCTGAACACCAGCCTCCCTCCAGCTTCCAGCTGCCACCATCAGAGGGAGGTCGGGAAGCAAAGAGGCCTCTCTCTGCCATGTCGGAATTCAGCTCCCCACTAAGAATTCCTCAAGGAATATTGTATTGAATGTTGTAATTTGCATTAAATTTTGAATCCTGTGAGCTGGTTGTGAGCCAACTTTGGACTGGAAAGCAGGATAGATAAATTTATTTTTTTTCTATGGAAGTAAATTTTTAAAAACCAGGAAACACCAGTCCAGCTCCTCCTCCTCTACCTTCTCCAAGCCAAGCCAATCAGAACTAATAAGCCTCTAGCCAGCCACACCTCACCCTAGCTGAGCAAAAGGCTCAGTAAACCAGGGCAGAAGACTGGTGACACAGCTTCAGATTTCCCAGCATGCCCTGCCAGTCTTGGCCTACATTTCTGCCTAGGAATCATATCTAGGCCTCTTAAAACCCTTGGGATCTTCAAAGAGACTTAAAAGATGCTTGCATGCATGCTCTCTCTTGCTCGTTCACACAGAGTGGTCACCTTTTTTGTGCTTCTTCACTTCCACCTCCTCGTCTTCTGAAGATTCAGGTGAGCTGGGGGGAGGTGTTTTGATGCCACATCCTTTTTCCCGGAGGGCTTTGGTTACATCATCAATATCCTCAGAGTCTTTGGGAGGGCGATAGTTAGCCACATGGTCTACACGAATTGTCCTTCCTTTGATCTGTGAACACAGAATCATAAGTTATGGGAGAAGTGCACATATCAGCTACACGCTCCAGAAGATGCTAAACATTCCTCTCCAGGGTCTCAGGCAGAGGTCTTTCACAGCACCTCCTACCTGATCCTTTTTAACTGGAGGTGCCAGGGATTGAACCTAGGACCTTCTGCATGCCAAGCAGGTGCTCTACCACAGAGTCATAGTCCCTCCCCTGCTCGACATCAAGCATTTTACTGAAATGTTTTACTAACCAGTGCTATTGTAAAGACTCTGGCAGAGGCCTGTAGCTCAGTAGTAGAATTATTATTATATTTATTAATCGCCCAATCCCTGCTACTGCAGGGCTCTGGACGATGTACAATCCAAATAAAAACATACACTAGATAAAACAATTAAAACTGAACAACACATTTTAAAACAGATGGCAAACAAATCAATCCCATTTCAGATTGCTGGTCGCTTCATGTGCAGGGGGAAAGGAGTAAGGCAAATGTAGACAGCAGAAGACAGTGCCAGCCAAGATGAAAGATTATGCTTGCTTGGCATGCAAAGGATCTTAGATTCAGTCCCCAATTGAAAATGGGGGGTAGATTTCATGTAGCAAAAAAAAAAAGGAATGGATGGTTATTGCCCATCCAACCAGAAAGTACTGGGCTAGAAGAAGCAACAGTCTGACTCATTAAAGGTGCTTTCATAAATCCTGGCAAGTTCCTCCAACGTCGAAGGGAGACATTCTAAAGTATCTTGGGTAGCAGATGTTCTCATCTGCTTGCCGCCCTGGGCCGTCTGGGTAGGGCGGGATATAAATCCCAAAATAAAATAAATAAATAAATAAAATAAAGCCCATGGAGAGCTTTTGCCACTCAGAATAGACACCACCAAGCGAAGTGGGCCAATGGTTCACCAGATGGTGTGAGAGCTTTGTGTGTCCTGTAACTTTGTAACAGGAGACAAGGCCCTTAAGACATGCTGTTTCCACTCTGCTTCAAGCCCTGGAACACTGCCATAGAGATAACAGCCCTTTTGGCAAACCTTCCCAGGAGGTAAATCTGTTTTAGCAAAATTAAACTACAGTGGCAACTTAAAAAGAGCAATAAGACTTATTCCAGCATAAGCTTTCCTGTGTCAGACGCATCTGATAAAGTGAGCAGCTGACTCTCAAAACCTTATGCTGGTATATATTTTAAGGTGCCACTGGGATTTCCGTTTTAACATTTCTCCTCAGGAGGTGCAGGTCTCCTACACTGCCCAATGCTAGTAGGCAATCAGGGTAGGATTCCCTTGCACTGGCTTTTCTCTCACTGTCAACCATACCTTTATCCCGTTAAAGTTGTCCACAGCAAGAACGGTGCTTCGCTGATCTTCATAGCAAATGAAGCAAAAGCCTTTGGATTTCCCTGTCTTCTTATCACGTACCAGGTTGATGTTCACAATTTCCCCATACCTGCAGGGGAAGTCAAGCAGGTTAAATGCCCTCTCACCAGAAACTCTCAGAAAATATTCCAAATGCTTCTGCAGCACTCCAGAGCAGAAAATTTTCGGCGAGGGAGCAGGGGCACATGCCCCTGACATGGTGACATCACTAAGAAGTGATTGGTCGGCAGGCGTGCTCTCCTTCTCCCTTCCCGTTAGGGGTGGCTCAGGAGCCTCCTGGCGCTGGGAATGGAGAGGGGGAAGGAGAGCCGAAGAGGCAAGCAGGCAGGCAGGGCAGCAGGTGGCAAGCAGAAAGAGGCGCCCGCTGTCCTGCCTGCCTCCTCAACTCTCCCTCAGCAGCATTGTGGTGGCTGGGATGGCCGGCCCTGGCACCTCACTGCTTCTGTGCCTGCTAGCCCAGCCATCATGATGCTACTGAGGGAGAGTTGAGGAGGCAGGCAGGCAGGCACGTATCTTTGCCGATGGGGCTCCCAGGGGGCGGGGGGGTGTCTGGCATCCTCCCAGGGAAGGCTGAAAGTCATCCATGGGAGGCACCACCCTCAAAAGCCCCCCCCCCCGGCTACAGGCCCGCCATGTAGTTCCCCACAACAGGTAGCTGAGAAGAAAACAATTCTACTTTTGACACTGGGACTATTAATATATTCACCTAGCCCAGCATCCTGTTTCAAGTGTGGCCAGCATTCATAAACAAAGCATGCTGAGGACATCTTCTTTTTACTTAATTCATTTGTACCCCACCTTCCTCCCGAATGGGGACCCAAAGTGGTTTACATGGTTCTCCTCTCCTTCAGTTTATCCTCACAAGAACCCCGTGAAGTACGTTAGGCTGAAAGTGTATGACTGGCCCAACGTCACCCAGAAAGCTTCCATGGCATGAGCGGAGATCTGAACCTGGGTCTCCCAGATACTAGTCCAGTCCTCAAAACCACTACACCACACATCTGCTTTTCAGAAGTATACTGCCTTCGGCCATGGATGTTCCATGTACCTATCGTGGTTAACAAATCTATCATCTAGTCATCTAACCCTTCTTCAAAGCTAACATCACATGCTAAGAACCTAGAATGCGCGCTACCACCATCCAAAAGGAGGCTCTTAACATGATATGTCGGTAGCAGGTTAACGTAGCGACAGCCCACAAAAAGATATCCTTGGCGTCCACTAGCTAGCTGTGGAACTCTCTTCACCCTGTGATCCAAATGTGGGTCTTCCAGATGCAACTTGGGTCCTTTCTCGGAGGAAACATTTAACAGGGGTGAATAAAGGATTCCTTTAATGGCTGTTTTATTTGAACATATTTTATTGTCACGGTGTTTGATGACTCTCTAAATAAAAACACTAAAAAGAACAAGGGGCTTTAGGGACAGAAATCAAAGTATGTATTCCCTGTCAGGACTGTGGCCCAAAGGGCATCAGGACAGAGCTGGATCTATACTTCTCAGCTACCAACATGGGTGATGGGGGAGTTCTGAATGGAAGGGAATGTGCTGTCAAATCACAGCTGACCCCACAGGGTTTTCAAGTCAAGATACGAACACAGGTGGTTTAGGTCAAGATGGGTCGCTGTATTAGTCTATTTGTAGCAGTAGGGGCCGCGGTTTGTAGCTGTTTGTAGGGGCCGTGGTGGCTCAGAGGTTAAGACGTTAAACTGCAGACCGGAAAGTCTGTAGTTCGGCAGTTCGAGACCTGAGTGCCGCATGACGGAGTGAGCTCCCGTCTCTGGCCCCAGCTCCTGCCAACCTAGCAGTTTGAAAGCAAGAAATTGCAAGTAGATAAATAGGTACCACTTCGGTGGGAAGGTAACAGCGTTCCGTGCGCCTCGGCGTTTAGTCATGCCGGCCCCATGACCACGGAGAAGTCTTCAGACAGCGCTGGCTCTTTGGCTTGGAAATGGAGACGACCACTGCCCCCCAGAGTCAGATTTGACTGGCTTTCGAGCCAGGGAAACCTTTACCTTTACTAGCACTAGAAAAGAGCAAGAGTCCAGTAGCACCTTAAAGACTAACAAAATTTGTGGCAGGGTCTGAGCTTTCGTGAGTCACTGCTCACTTCTTCAGATACCTCTGCATTAGCAACCCTGGACTTCCTCATTGGTCTCCAATCTAAGTACTGACCATGGCTGACCCTGCTTAGCTTCCACAATTGGGCTAGCGTGGGCCATCCGGGTCAGGGCAAAAAGTTCTACTTACTGTGAAAATACACAGATAATGTCTCCTTCAGTCAACTCATATGGTAAACCCCCTGGAAGAAAAGAGCAGAGTCTAATAAGTGCATTTTTTTGACACATGATGAGCTACCACCGCTGCAGGGGCTGGCCACCCAATGCCATCTCACTGCTTGACACACACCCACAAACACCCATGCGCTGTCACTATACTCAGCATGCCAGGAGACTTTCTCTTGCACACCCAGCTGGGCTTCACGTTCATTCAGCTCATTGATCAGCTTCACTTTGGTCAGCGGGCTAAGAAAGAGGAACAGAAAACACTCATTTCAGGTATCTTCCTAGCACCTTTCGCCCCTACCTTGCCACATGGCCAGCTTCTAAAGAGAACCACTGGGGTCTCAAGCCTACACAGAAGACACGCGCTCAGTTTTGGAAGCCCAGAAACCCCAAACTTAGCCCAAGGGTTCGAAATTAGTTAACTGGGATGAGAAGGCACTCTGCACACTCTCAGAAGCACTCTTCCGTGTTATCACTTCACACACTCCTAGTGCACACATGGCGTGCGCGCGATAACTCAGAAGCTCGCCTCGCCCCATCCCTCGACCACCCTCAAGCCCTACCACCAACCTACTTCATACTGCCGCCTTCACCTTTCGCTATGCGCATGCCCTACGTGTACCAGGAGGCTGTGCGAACTGACGAGACCACGCCTCTCCCGCATTGGGCGAGCCTCCGGAAGAGAACCAATCCGAATCCATCTTTCTTCAGCCTTTACTTCCCTCCTCCCCGTTAGGGTTGCGTCTGATTAATAACGGTGCTCTGGCTGAAACGCAATCAGCCATTGGTTGTTGGTCACAAGATGCCGCGCATGCTTAGGGGCATCAACCCTTGAAGCCCCTTTGAAGCTTTTTTTTTTTGTTTTCTGCCCTCGCTTGTAATGAAAGTCTCGCAGCCGCGTTCCAAGTTGGCAAAGGGGATATTGTAGGGAGAGGAAAGAAAGGCAGGATATGTTGCATTTAGAAAGACCTGAAAGAAAAAGTGTAGGGTTTTTTTGTTTTCTTTTATTTATGTATTTAATTTATTTATTAGTATTTTTACCCCGCCCTCCACGCGAGCGGGCTCAGGCACCACCCCTGGTGGCTCAGGGCGGCTTACAAGAGGGCAACAATGCCCACATATGGACGAATACGGAGCGCTAGCGCAGAAGGCCCTGAATAGTCGTCCCCCTTACATTGCCTTCTGTTAAAGCCTCTCTAAATGCGTAAGAACTCGATCAGTTTTACCCCACTGGGGCTGGCAAAGTTTTATGCTAGTAAATGACGGCGTAAAAATTAATGTTTAGTTGCAAAACGTGTATTGCTCTATAGAGCAGATGGCCTTCCAGTCCTGTCCTGGGGGGGGGGGAAGACCCTCAAATTAGGTATAAATACTGAAAGCAAAAGAAATGTGTTTATTTAAATAGTTACATAGCATTTAAATACATAGCACCCCCCCCAAAAAAAAGAACAACCCGAATTCCATAATCCTCTCCTCCAATCCTCGCCAGTACCATGCAGATCAAAATGGGACATGAATGCAGCTATTCCATCAATCAGACGCCTCCATACTCTGCTTTATTTTGGGAGGTTTATTTCTACATCCAACTTTTCTTTGTTCATGATTTGGGAACGGCCTGAATGGGCACCCAGCTTTAACACTCCTATATGAGGAGAGCATCAAAGAAGCTCCTGCACTGCCTTCTGTACCACTGCTGCCTCATTGCTTATTTCTGGTTTGTGCTGCATGAAGAAAATAAAGGTTGTTCTGGTTTGCTCACCAGCCTGTAGCCCTTTAATCACAGCTGTGATGCAGACTCTTGCAAGGTCTGCTCGCCCAGCACACCTCTCATTTCTTCACAGTCTGAATTACACTGAAATGGTCTACTGACATTTAGTTAAATATATTTACCAATTATGTGAACCTAGCTAGAAAACAAGAAAGATTTCGCAGAGAGAAAGCCTGAATGCTCTCCCCCATTAGAGCTAGGTCCAGAGCCAACATGTTGTACTGGTTAGAGCACTGGAATGGTATATGGGAGATCCAGGTTCAAATTCCTACCTGCCATTGAAGATCACTGACAGAGTGAGAATGCTTTAAGATCCATCTCTTGCTGCCTAATCTACCTCACAGGGTTGTTGTGAACAGAAAATGGGGGGGAGAACAATATTTTAAGCCACTATAGATCCCCAGTGGAGGAGGAAAGGGGGGGGGTAGAAATATCTGAACAAATAAAGTGATTACAGCTCTTGTAAGAAAAGACATCTTGCTATTTAGACCCGCAGACAAAAGGACTGTCCCTCCTCCGCCTCACTTAAGAGGGCAGAAGCGTCTTTTGTACCAGACTTGCCTCTCCAGATACAGGTCATCCAGCTGACGTCTGACAGTTCAGCATCTTATAATATCATAAGCCTTGTTCAACATTTTAACTTTGAAACTGCATTGTGTGTAATTGCATAATCCACCTTGAGTCTCAGGGAGGAGGCAGACTACCAATGAAGTCAATAGATAAAATTAGCTCCAGGCTCATTCTGCTCCTAGAACATTGCCAGTCGACATGGGGAAGTAGCAAGGTGGGAGCAAAAGCAGACAGCCTCAAAGATATTGCTAATTACTTTTCAGTTCTCATGGAGCTGTCACTCATTTCTAAGCTTTCAGTTCTCCCTGAGAAACAATCACTACATTAGGTTAACCCTGCTTTGGGTCTGCTGCACAAGGACTGAAAGTTGCAAGACTCCCTCCTGAAATTACAAAAAAGATAAGATAGCCTCTTCTTTTCCTAGTGTGGGCAGCTGGCCTGATCTCTTTGGCTACTGAACTAAAGACTAGGATAGTTTTATGTATTTATTTCGACCTCAGTAGCTATCAAGGCCAGGTCTGTAACCTATATTTTACAGAAACTCAGGGGTCATTTCCTGCAGGAGGGCACAGGAGCGGAGCTCCGGCAGTAAAGAGCCCAGGGGGCGGG